ACCAGTTCAGGGTGTGTGCCCGCGGGGAGGGGCGCACCGAGTGGAGCCCCTGGAGCATCCCCCAGACGGGCTACACCACCCTCGCACCGCACGGTGGGTACAGCTCAATATACAACTAGAAAAACATTATCTAATAAATCTATCTGTATATTTAAAAAACCCTCTTATGTATACTTTGTAAGTAACACTGTTTTTCATCATGTTGAGTGGTCTGATTAGAACATACAAAAAGTTGAGAATGAATGCACTCGTACGAGGAACACACACACACATACATAGTTAAATACAACTACACACTATCATCAAAACAATGTTGTGTTTGGACCTATTAGCACCACGCGTGTTATTGTCGTTATCTAATTTCTGGTCTTTTTCACATTCTACATTTGTTTATACAGTATATGGTAACTGTTGGGGAAATATTTTCCTAGGCCCATAACTTTGACCCAGTTGATCAGTTTGCACTGCCCTCACTGAGCTCAGGCACCTGTAGCCTTGGCTGCTGTGCTCTCAGTGTTTTGTCTCCCTGTTCCTGCCTGTTGGCGTCAGCTGATAGAGGTGTTATGGTGCTTTGCCTGTTTTATCTTGTTATGCAGCATGTTGATGCTTCTCTCAGAACCAGCTAAATACATGGGTCTGGGGTAGAGATCTTCAGAATTGGTTTGGCAACCGCTGTGTCACCTGGTGGCAGCAGCACAGGTCTTGTCAGTTCTCCGGCCGTTAAGTCCATCATAAATCATCAGTGTTTGCCATCAAAGTTCCAGCTCTCCCCGTGTCTCTGAGTTTCGTCTCCATTGCTTCAGAAGTTTCCATCACAGTAATGATGTTTAGCTGTGGGGGTGGGGAACCGGTCGAGAGTTGGATTGCAATGTAAATTGATGGATTAGTGTATAATATGGGTCACACTGCGCAAGCAAGTGGATTCTTTCTTCTCCATTGCTGAAGTTGTATACGTTCACAATTTTTTATTGGCACATTTTTTATTGTATTTTCAACGTTAAAGTATTTTTTAATGTTTTAAATTAAGCATATTAAATAAAAAATGTCAAACAATAAAAACAAAGTCCTTGCAACCTACTTTTATTTTTTTTTAAATCCGGTGTGTTTTTACTCACAGAGTGGTGTCCGGGCACTGAGGGCTACATCCTGAGCAGCAGGAAGAACATCGCCCTGCGCAGCGACTCCTCTCAGGCGCGCTACCCCATCCTCTACTCCAACGCTCCCACATACTTCTGCGGCCAGACGCTCACCTTCAAGTAAGAACATGCAACCAAACACACTCAGATACTTAAGAAACATTTATATATCCCTATCAACTGAAAAATGTGTTTTGATGATCTTTTTTTATACAGATGTGGAGGTGTCTCTTTTTGTAACTTTGTAGCAGCTTAATGTTAAACCTTAATGATTTTGACACCCATCTTCATGTAGAAAATGTAGGGAAATGTACAGTAATAAAACTAGTGTTTATGTGTGTGTGTAGGATATCTGCAGCAGGTCAGGTGGACCGGAGGGACAGTGTAGGCGTGTGTGTGGACAGCAGGAAGGGGGCAGAGTCGCTTCAGAGAGACCAGGCTGTCTGCATTTCCACCAACGGTACGCTCACACATGCACAGTGTCATTTCATTTTTTTAAAGTGTGTCTTCATCAGGAAATAAATCAACCAAAGATTGTTGGTGCTCAACTTCAAAGTTGATGGACAATTCCCTATTGTTCACGTTTTCAAAATGTTTAAATACACTGCTCGAAAACATTTGACTCTTTTGGAAGACACAGCAAACCTTCAGGCAATGGCACGTATTAATGTGCCATCCTGGAGGAGCTGGACTGCCTGTGGGACCTCTGTAGGGTCCAGGTATCGCCTCATGCTACCAGTAGTGACACTGACTCTAGCCAAATGCAAAACTAGTGAAAGAAAGTCAGAAAAGGTGAGGAGGTAAAAATCACCTGGAAAAACCATTCCTATTTTGTTAACTGATCAACAACCCCCTCTACTTAACTGACCAGATCAGTATCCCAGAAGTTTAATTGACTTGATGCTATACTCTGATTAAAAACATTCCTTACATTTTTTCGAGCAGTGTACATTTTCTGCCTTGAAGTTCCCCATTGGTTTGGTTTCTTTAACTGTTGTAAATAAAAATAATTGCTTAAATGCTCTACCGTTTTTGTTCGGTTCTGTCATGTGTAGCATGATGGACGTTGATGTTAAACCATATTTAGCATTATTGTAAGTGTTAGCTTCTCATGCAGCACGATGAGACAAACCACTGCAGCGGAGAAACATTACTTTACATTTTCAGACTATTCAAAATACGGTTTGGCATTATTAAGTGTTGTTGATTTGCGCTCTATGTAAGTACCCTCACCTTGCCGTGCTTTTCTCAGGCGCCGTGTTTGTGAACGGTAAAGAGATGACCAACCAGCTGCCGGCCGTCACCGTGGGCTCCGCTGTGACCTTCGACATGGAGGTGGTCAACCTGTTCCCTGTCAGCAACAACAACTTGAGCGAGGGCGGGCACTTCAAGCTGCGCGTCACCATCGGCTCGGGGAACAGGGAGGTGGTGTTCGACTGGCTGGTGGACCAGGCCGTGGACTGCCTGTTCTTCGGATGCTCCTTCGTCCACTCCGGCTGGAAAGTGCTGGTGTTTTAACGGATCCTTAGAGACCCACTTCCACCTATTTTCTATGTTTTTTATCTTTACGGGGAGATAGCAGGTCATCAGTGTATGCCACGGAGAAGCTGGGATTCATTTGAGGTGCAGCTCCAATATTTCTAGTCATAATCTGTAGTAAACTTTGTTTTAGGTGCCTTTTACTAATTTGAAAGTTCAGTGTGTCCACATTTAGTGCATTATAACGGAAGTATATGATGGCCATCACTATTCTCTATTATGTTGTTGCAGCAATTTTGGTGTTGATACCATTTGCTGCACTAATTTGGTGCCATAATAAACATTAAAGACCACTTGAAAATTGAAAACAAGTTTCCAAAATACCACAATAAGACACAAGGATCTTTAGGAACACGATAGTAAAACTCCTGCCGTAATTTGATATCAAATGCTTTTTGAAACTTTCTGCAGGAGTTGCATTTTTCCACAAGCACTTCAGTTCTTCAAACTGCTCAGAAAACCCCTTACAGTATGGTCACTTAGGGAAAGCCATGCATCCTCTGAATGCCCTCAGACTAGGTAGGTTATCCTTGAGACCATAGAAATCAAAGTCAGGTTTAAATATTTATCTTCTGCCGTTGTTCCTCACTTTTGAACAAAAGGTTTGTAGTCTGAAAACAATCCGTCATGTTGTCCCAGAGTTTCTTTAAAGGGGCCCTATTATGCCTTTTGGGGTTTTCCCTTTCCTGTAGTGTTTTATATAAAATCTGTTTCCTGAAGAGGGAGTTTCTCTCCCACCCAATATTTGTAGATCATTTGTCAGGGTTCTCTAAATAACCACGTTACCGGAGATAACATCTCTCCATCCATGCAGCCCCTCTCAGCTCCTATTTAACCCTTGAAGCTGGTGAACAGGGATTTTCCTTTTCCCTGTAAATGGTGTTTACTTGTGTGAATGTAAACATAGTGACTGTCTGCGAGCGTTGCTGCCTCTGGGAGGAAATGTGATCTGAGACTCTTTGTAAAAGCTCTTCTTCATGGAGCCACTTTGGAGAAAATGATATTCTTGTTTTCGTCACAGCTTCTTTTTGGCTCTTCTCGGGCTAATGTTTACAGCTTTCTTTTCACGTGGCACCGTCCCTCACTGTGGGGAAGAGTTTGAGATAGCTGTTTATCTATGCATCGTCTTCATTTAGTAAAGTTTGACACCTTGTAGATGAAAAGCACATTGTTCTTAAGAGGCTGCATGATCATGTTTTTATCTTTCCTTTGTTTTTTTTGGGAGCAGCAAAAAAGAACACGTGTTACACTTTCTGTTTTGTTACCCATTCACTGTGAAAATCGGCTGGTATTTTTCTTCGTTTTCAAAATTAGTTTTATGCCATTTTAAAGGGACGCTTCACCACAAGTCCTAAAAAGTGTGTTTCTGCCTTCATTTCTCCGACGTTTGTTTAACCGCTGTAGTAAAACACACAGCTCTAAGGAAGCCAGAGAGATGTTTTGAGGTGATTTTGGGAGTAGCCTAAAAAGATACTTAAAGGTCCAACGTGCTTCTTTTTGAGCTTCAGGCTGTAGAAACAAACTTTTATTTTTGTCTGAACTGTCACCTTGAGTTATTTTACAAAACCTGCCGTTGTTGCGCCATAATAAGAGTTTGGATTTCGAGAAGCATGTCAGCTGTGTCATTTAAGGGTGGTTTGAATCTGTGAGCAATTATTGAATTCTGTCTAACTGTGTTTTGCCTCTGTTGATAGAAGTTTGATGAGGTCCTCTATCGAGTTGAGGTGATGAATCTACAAGTTATAAATTGGTTGAATTGAAGTCTAATCGTAGCCTACTTCTTAAAATATTTTCTTTTGTCCAACCAGCAGTAGCAAACCCTTAAATAGAAAACAGAGCTTTTCTAGTAATTTCAATGTCTTTACAACAATTTTGACCCTGTTCTTCATTCCGGGTGACAACAACAGCATCAAGAACACAATACTGAAGAAAAGTTTTGTGTTCTTGACGTTGCCGAAAAAACCCTGATGTTCGTCCAGCACACACTGCACTCAGCTTCCAGAGATGTGTTTGTTTCTGGCTGACATTAAGCTCTTTGTTTTGTCTCTGGAGAACCTTGGATGGTGCCTTTATATATACAGTCTATGGATGGTACAGATTTCCTGAAACCATTGAAAATAAAACGTAGTTCTGAAAAAACGTGAACTGAGGAATTGCATCGTGGAAACAGTGACACCTGCTGGTCAAACCTCTGTATTGCATTTGTTTCACTGATGTCATTTTTGTTGTTTTGTTAAATAAAGGTCAAATTATGTAAACCAATCCCTTTCTGCTGAGTTGTGACATAATTGCAGAAGTGAAATAAATAAAGCACATGGTCGATAGTTGTACAAAATTGTTCTTTTAATAGAAAACCATTCTGACTCAACTTAAAAGTTCACAACGTCAAGCTGGTTTTTACATAAATGTAGAAGAAAAGTCTTGTTTTTCTTGACATGGCTCCTCATCGTGTGCAAAATGCTGCTGGTCTCATGTGGGAAAAGTGGGCTCTATCTAAATTAAAAAGTGCTCTGCACGTCACTCAGAACTGTCACATGTGAACCAAACTGCAAACTAGATCCTGCTGAATTTCTCACCATCAGACTTCTAAAGCTTTTGAAAAGTTGCACCATGAGAAGGTACATAAAGACTCTTCTGCATCAATGCCAGTCCATAAACTGTTCAATGTGAAGCAGGAAACTGAAACGCTCTCCTGGACATTGTGCTTCTTTCTGCTCCCGTTTCAAGGCAGTGAGATCGGGTCAGGTTTTGCAGAAAACTATTTGTTTTATTTTTACAAAAAAAAAAGCATGAGAAACAGCAGCAGAGCAACCTGCAGAAGATTCATCCCCTTTGGTGTGTGAACTAAAAGAAACTATAACAAAATAACTTGCATGTTGCTTTCCAAAACAGACATTATCCAAAGCTATATTGTGAGTTTCCCAGAGTCTTATGTACATAACGGCAGGAGGAAAAAACAGCAGAGAAATGAGACAAAAGATTAAATGAGCGGCAAGTTGATGGCCTCCCCTAACCCCTCTGAAGCTGGCCTGCAACTCTTTAGTATATACGCAAGTGGGGAAAAAAAGCAGATATTCCAGAGCCTTAGTGAGTGTGAGTGTTAGCAAAAGTCCCTCAACGATTATATGAAGTTAAAGCGACTGGAGTGAGCACCTGGATTCATATATGAAAAAGAAACCGATGCTGAAAGAAGTGATCCTGTCAATTTATTTGTTGGGACGACTTCATTCTTTATCCCCCCCCAAAATGTGGCAAAAAAAACCTCCCAAAAAGGTCACCTCCTTTCCTGTGGAGGAGCTGTGTTTGAATGCATCTTGGCACCCAGAGTTTCTGAGGAGTAAACGGGGATCTAGCACCAGTTAACTGCATCTGATCATTCTGAGATTCAACTTATGAGGAACATTCTTCATTTCTAAAGGTAATGAAATGATAAACGTCTGACACACCATGATGTAGCCTGCTTTTGATAACATGATTCCCTGCAGTAAGATTCTTGTATTGTCCTGTTGGGGGATCTGATAGAGTTTAGATTCAGTTTGAAGCCGATCCAGAGCCGGGGAGTTTCTGCTCGCTGGCCGCTCTCTCTGTCCCGTCCGTCTCCTCCTGCTCTCCTCCGTTCTCCACGCAGCCTTTGCTAGTCCCCTCATTACAGGGTGTGTCATCGATCGCATCGAGCTCGGGATCTTGATCCGTCTCCGGCTGAGACTCCACGGCCGTCTCCCAGTCCTCCTCTTCCTCTTCCTCCTCCTCCTCCTCCTCTTCCTCCTTGTCGGTGTGAGGCTGGCTCTGAAGGAGGCGCAGGCGGGCCATGGCCTGGTCGATGGTCTGCGTGGTGACCAGGTTGAAGTCGTGCATGCTGATCAGGTGCAGCAGGAAATTGCGAAAGAGGTTGTTTTTGACGATGTGGGCGCCATGGTGATCGGCGAACACCAGACACGACTCGTTCATCTGGTTGTCTGCTATGAAGCTGTAGGGAGGACAGAGAGGATGATGGGGTGAGTGCAAGCAAAGAGACGTTTTTTTTTTAAATGCACCATTTAATACGTACACATTGTTAACTACCATGGCTGTACCCAATAGGTAGTTAACATAGCTATTGTTGCGTTTAAATTAAAATGCTTATCAACATTTTCAACACATTTAAATTCTGTGCAGCCTTGTTTCGTTTAATAACATAAGCTGGCCTTTTTTAAGCAGATAAAGATTCAGCTTCATACACACCCGTTCTTCATGACGTGGAGGTTCCACAGCTTCATGATCTCCTTCTCTCCCTCGTTGACGTCTGTGAACTCTTCCATTTGCTGCGGAGAGAGCAGTCAGACTTTAGATCAGATGTTAGACATGACCAACCTTCTACTTAAACTTAAGCATCAGGAATGCAGGTACAGAACAAGTGGCTAAATCAAAGTGTTTCTTTCTCCTGTACATACAAAGGCATTATGAAACTGCTGTAACAGGTAGTTTGACCAACATCACCAGTAAAGCATAGTGTGCTGCTCCAGTATGTCTTCTGTCAGCAGTGAGCTCACCTTCACAGTCTTCTCTCGGAGCCAGTCGGGGTCCCTCTCGTCCTCGCTGTCCACCTCCATCTCCTGAGGCCTCAGCGGCACGCAGCTGTCGCTGTGGAAGTACAGCCGGTTGTGTCCGCTGATGACGGGCGGCTCCTGATCTCCGTCCTCCGGCTCCAGGAACTCCGACAGACTCGCCTTCGTCCTCTTGGGTCTGGACAGAAAATTATAGTTTCAAAATATTTAGAGGACAAGTTATGCTAATTTTCAGGTTCATATTTGTATGTCGTGTCTCTACTGTGACATGTTTACATGCTTTAATGTTCAAAAAGCTCTTTATTTGTCTCATACTGCCTGTGCTGCAGCACCTCTTTTCACCCTCTGTCTGAAACCAGAGCCCAGTCTGCTCTGATTGGTTAGCTGGCCAGCTCTGTTGTGATTGGTCAACTGCTTAGAGATGTCCCGCCCCTTAGCCTATCACGTACAATGTGTTGGAGTGTTAGGCAATAGAAGCGCCAGTGTTACACAGTGATGTCACTATGTTAGGTGGAGGGGAACTCGGGGATTTTAGCCTTTGCAGGCCATTTACATGCACAAAAACAAATATAACACACTACAGGGATTTGAATGGTAGATGTTGGTTATAAAAAAGATAACACTTTAATTTATTCTGAAAGACCACACTGAAGCATATATGTAACTTGTACGCTCACAGCAAACCAAATCATGTTGTGGAATAGCTTTCCTTGCAGAAATGTTCCGTGTTATCCCTCTAACAGTGAGAGTAGTAATGAAGTAATACCTGCAGACGACAACGTGCGTGACGGCCGTCCGCTTCACCGGGCCGTTCCTGCTGAAGGCGAAGCCCGGCTGGCTGTGGATGTCCTGAGGGTTCCCTGCGTACGAGCCGTCGTAGCACTCGTTGATGGAGACCTCCACCTTCGCTCCTTTGGGATGGTGCTGCCGGAGATCAGAGAGAGAAGAGTGAATAAAAACATCTGACTGACAGCTTCATCTGGAAGACTGCTGTGAGCTCCAGTAACATCATTTAAATCCACTGCTTTAAATCTTTTTAGGTTTGAGGAAAGCCATCAATCAAAGGCATCAACCAAACATTTCCATTTAGTTTCAATAATGGCTCAAGCATTTTGTTTATTATATTCTTTTAAATCATATTTTACCATAACTTCATTTAAGGAGGCATATCTTACTAGAAGATGGTGATTTTTCATATTTTTTTAAGAATTGCGTTGAGTTTAAAGAAGGCGCATATATCAATTATTAGTATTATTATTCTTTAATTATGGAAAATCCTTATAACTTCACTCAGGAATGTTATGCTAATAATGGAAACATGAAAAAATGAGGCTTTAAAAATTGTACTGCTGAGTTTATATTAGACTTAGTAAATGTATGTGTTTTATCAGTATACAAATCCATTCCTGTCCTTTCTAGTCAACCAAGTTATTTTATTCGTCAGTTGTTCCGTAATCACTTTTTATTTTGTATCCCTTCGTTTGAACCTATGGTTTTACTTGTATTCTTTTAATTGAAGGATATGTTGTTGCACAGAGAGAGTGAGTCTCACCACGTAGTTGAAGTTGAAGCGGGAGTGGGACAGTTTGAGGTGTTTGATCAGGCTGTACAGCTTCCTGCAGTTCAGCGTGCACCAGGGACAGTGCAGGTCGTCTCTGGCCTCCGTCTGCTGCCGCGTGTTGTGATTGTACTGGAACTGGACACAAGAACACAGACGTGAGCGTGTCATCAACGCTACGACTCGTTTCAGGGCATTCGCATCCATTTGTTTCCCAAATATTCCAACACCGTTTGAACGCAGCATTGGAAAGTGTGGAAATGTGTCACTAAGGTCAAACCGCTGTAACATCACGGGGATCTTGGACAAAGTTCATTGGATCGTGGTACAAGTCACACAGTATTATCGTCAGGACAGAGGATCATTTTCAACCCAATGTGTGGTTGAGCGTGACGATAAAACATGTTAAAGGTCACCTATCATGCAATATTTAGGCAATAGCATAGGTCTCAGATATATAAACATGTATAAAAAACATGTCCATGAAGTGTTTTGCTCAAAATACCAAACAGATCATCCATATGCCTCATGCATTGATTCTGATAGCGAGTTTCTGATAGGGCCGTGGGTCCGCCACGTGGGTGCCATCCGATATGATGTAATTTACGTCATATCGGATGGCAAATCTAGATCAGCTCGTTGTAGCCCCGTTTTCAGAGATTTGCGCACGGAGGAAAAGAGAGAGGGTTTTACTTTCTGACACTTTGAGTTCCCTGACACGCCGGGGACACATACTTATGTATAAGACATCAAAAAGTGCATTTTGCATGATAGGTCCCCTTTAACATGGCGACGCAGACTCTCTGAGGTGAAGGCGGAGCAGCAGACTGACCTGGTAGAAGATGCGCAGCTTCTGGCGGGGCTCAGCTGAGATCAGTTCTCTTCTGGTTTGGACGTCAGCATTTATGGATTCTTTAACAGCTGCAGCAAAGAGGAGGAACACACCATGAGTCACTTGTAAGAGTGAAATAATGATAAACAGCTGCACCGCTGACAGCTTTCTGGATGTCAAATCTCTGCTGCTCACCCAGAGTGTGTGTGGCCCTCAGGGAGCTGGGTCGGGGCTCCTGGTTGGTCTCAGAGTTGCGGGTAGCTAAAGGTTTGGCCACGGGGGCCGTGGAGCGGTCCGAGGCGTCACTGGTCCAGCGCAGCGTGAACTGCAGGGTGGGGCCCTGAGAGAAACTCTCAAAGGGAGGCATACGCTGCAGAAAAGAGGGGATGATATGTTATTACACTAGTTTAACCAATGAGCACAAACAGAAGGGATGGAACCTCATGGTCGGTGAGTCAATATGTTTAATCACTGATTTTACTTCCATATGGAGAAAAGGAATTTTCATTCCATTATTAGGGCAGCATGCACACACTGATCTAGGTTTAAAATGACTTCATTCAAATATAAAATTAAGCATAGCTTTGTTGCACAATTAAAACATTCTTAAAAAGGTTAAACCTCTCAATGAAAAACAAACCAACCACCTTTTTAAAGATGGCAGTGGACTTGGAATGAATGTTAACTTGATTTAAGAATACAATCTCAACACTTTTATATGTCCACTAGGCTTTTAAATGTTGTTACTTCATTTTAATCATGGATGTGTACTTATGTCTAAATTTTTTACTAACGTGTGCTTGTTTCTATATTTAATATGTTAGCTTACCATTTGGATTTTATGCCTTTGATCTGTCGCTCTTGCTGTCACGCTTTAAAATGTACCCGCTGCGAGACTGATCATCTCAACATGAAATATTTTATTCTGGAAAATGTTTAATGTTACTGAAACAACATTTTAAGTGTTTTGTTGCTAATGCTACCCTGTTCTGTGTGACCCCAAAGTCACACAATTATTTTCTCGTAACTGGCTATTTGTCATTTCCAGTATATTTTCCAAAATGAACTAGGTGCATCCAAATAAGATTTTGGACACACAGGTTAAGGGACACTTTTGTGACGGCATTGAATAATATATTTGTAACCAAAATGCTGAAACAACACTGCTCTTGGACATGTATTGACATTGTGTCTCCAGTGTGTAATAAAAAGGACACACACACACACACACACACACACACACACACACACACACACACACACACACACACACACACACACACACACACACACACACACACACACACACACACACACACACACACACACACACACACACACACACACACACACACACACACTACACACACACACACACACACACACACACACACACACACACACACACCACACACACACACACACACACACACACACACACACACACACACACACACACACACACACACACACACACACACACACACACACACACACACACACACACACACACACACACACACACCTTCCCGTCCAGGATGGTCTCCCAGGTGGCCCTCTTCTTATTGACGGGACACTCCTCCATCTCTTGCATAGACACCTCGTACTCCCCGTCCAACAGCTGCAGGCGTCTGCACACACACAGCACAACATCATTCACAGCGTTTACACACACAGTGATGCACATGAGATATAAAGTGTGTTCTCGTGTCAGAGGGTGACAGTGTGTGTTTCTCACCTGTTCTTATCAAAGACAGTCATCTGAGCCACAAATGTGGTTTCTCCCTCCTCCCTGAGAGAGGAGCTCCTCCTCTTCCTGTTTGACATTTCCTCTGTAAAGTCTGAGACAGACACATGATTCAATAAAAAGCCTGACAAACATCACAGTGGTGATTTCACATCTTCAAAGGAAATCATTTGGTTTGTTACAAGTTTCACATATCATTATATCAGTTATAATAACACCTTACTCACCAAGTTAGTACTAAGCTTAGAGCCACAAACATTCATTGAAGTGTAAATCAGGGATTTAAAGGACAAAAATGATCATCTCAAAATCATTTGTGTCATTATTAAATGAGTTTTTGTGACACTGTACCGCTTTACTATTACTATGGGTTTTAAAATCCGTACAGCTCCATCAACCACTATATGAACTATATATATTCAGATCTTCAATTTTCACCAAGATAAACTGTGAAAAAACTGAACTGCAATAGATTGGAAGACAATTCACTTTCTCAGTCATTGTTCTTTGCTAATAAATGAGCAGATACTCATTCCAACTCCTGCCTCCAAACTCTGCTGCAGAAACTCTTCTCTCTACTCTCTCATCCTCTCTGGACTCTCTCGGTCCTCTCACATCTCGGCAGGCTCGTCAGTCCCCTCCTGCTCCCTGGCTAAATGATGCACTGCGTGCTAATAGAACCGTCCTTCGGGCAGCAGAGCGGAAATGGTGGAAATCCAAACACCATGACGACCTCCTAACCTATCAGGCTCTCCTCTCCTCTCTTCTTTCTCTGCTCCGATCTCTCAGGCAAAAAGCACTTTCTTTCAAGATAAGATCCAATCTTCCTATTCCAATCCCAAAAAACTATTTTCCATCTTCTCCTCCCTCCTGGACCCTCCAAAAGCCCCTCCCCCCTCCTCACTTCTGTCAAGCGACTTTGTTAACCACTTTGAAAAAAAGGTTGATGATATTCGCTCTTCTTTTTCTGACTCACCTTTACTCTAACTTCTGGTCACTTTCCAAACAGTCTCAAGGAGGCAAGAGTAAACCCTCTCCTAAAGAAACCCACTCTCAACCCGTCTGATGTTATAAACTACAGGCCTGTCTCTCTCCTCCCGTTCCTGTCTAAAACACTTGAACGCGCTGTCTTTAAACAACTCTCCTGCTATCTCCATCAGAACAACCTTCTGGATCCGCACCAGTCTGGTTTCAAGGCAGGTCACTCCACAGAAACTGCCCTCCTTGCTGTCTCTGAGGAACTGCACACTGCTAAAGCAGCCTCCCTCTCCTCTGTCATCATCCTGTTGGACCTGTCTGCTGCATTCGACACGGTGAATCATCAGATCCTCCTTCGCACTCTCCAAGAACTTGGAGTTTCAGGCTCTGCACTTTCCCTCCTCAACTCATACCTGAAAGACCGTACCTACAGGGTGACTTGGAGAGGGTCCGAGTCCGACCCTTGTCAATTAACTACAGGGGTCCCTCAGGGCTCTGTTCTTGGTCCCCTCCTCTTCTCCTTGTACACAAACTCGCTCGGATCAGTCATTAGCCCGCATGGTTTTTCTTACCACTGCTACGCTGATGACACCCAATTAATTCTGTCCTTTCCCCGCTCAGAGACCCAGGTCGTCGCACGCATCTCTGCTTGTCTAGCTGACATCTCTCAGTGGATGTCTGCTCATCACCTCAAGCTCAACCTTGACAAGACTGAACTGCTTTTCCTTCCGGGAAAAGATTGTCCCACTCTTGACCTAACAATCAACATCGGCACCTCAGTTGTTTCCCCGACTCAGACTGCAAGGAATCTGGGTGTGACCCTAGATAACAACCTGTCCTTCACTGCAAACATCGCTGCTACAACCCGCTGCTGCAGATACACGCTTTACAACATCAGGAGGATGCGTCCCCAGCTGACCCAGAAAGCGACGCAGGTTCTGGTCCAGGCTCTCGTCATCTCACGCCTAGACTACTGCAACTCCCTCCTGGCTGGTCTACCTGCATGTGCCATCCGACCTCTGCAGCTCATCCAGAATGCAGCGGCTCGTCTGGTCTTCAACCTTCCTAAATTCTCCCACACCACTCCGCTCCTCCGCTCCCTTCACTGGCTTCCGGTAACTGCTAGAATCCACTTCAAGACAATGGTACTTGCGTACCATGCTGCGAATGGATCTGGCCCTTCCTACATCCAGGACATGGTTAAACCGTACATCCCAGCACGTGCACTCCGCTCTGCATCAACCAAACGGCTCGCTGCACCCTCGCTGCGAAGGGGACCCAAGTTCCCATCAGCAAAAACACGTGGGTTTGCTATTCTGGCTCCTAAATGGTGGAATGAGCTCCCTATTGACATCAGGACAGCAGATAGCTTACACACCTTCCGGCGCAAACTGAAAACTCATCTCTTTCGACTCCACTTCGAGCGATAGAACTATTAACAAAGCACTTATATACTAATAAAGGGCTGGCTTATCTAAAGCCAGTTGAGTAGCACTTGAAATGTTTTTGCTCTATGAAGCCTGATGTACTTATATGATTCTGTTTTCTTCAAGTTTGTATTTTGTTGGTCGAACGCACTTATTGTAAGTCGCTTTGGATAAAAGCGTCAGCTAAATGCAATGTAATGTAAAGATACAGTTGAACAATCTGTTACATTAACACATCTGAATATTTCTGCTAACAGGTAACCCAAAGTTAATTTGGTCTATGAATGTGTTGGATGATTGGGTATTCATTTTTCAATTTCATATTTCTTTTATCTTCCAGAAAAGTGTGAGTTACCTAGATGTTTGTTTAAAATCTGCCTGTCTATTGGCCTGGTGAGTGTGATGATGTTATGACTGACAGAAAGAAGCCCCATGTTTGATAAAGCAGAGGAACCAACAGTCAGTCCTCACCTCTGCTGTGGTGGTTGTTCTCCCCGTTGACCAGGCCGTTGATCTGGGTGCGGGGGGCTCCGGGCCTCGACACTCTGAACAGCAGCGAGTAGGACTTGACCATGTGAGAGTTGCTGGGTTCAAACTCGCTGCTGGGAACCAGTAAAGAGGGGACGGAGCCGGGCTTGGGGGAGACTCCAGCGCTGGTGTCTGGGTTCAGAGGAACCTGCTTCTTCCCCGTCGGGACCTGCTTCACCGGGCAGCTCACATCCTGGACAGGAGAACACATGTCAGATACATTTCAGAGCATTACAGAGACCCCTGAGAGCACGTGATGACCAACACACCTTCCTCTTCTTGTGACAGACTTTGACCAGCAGCACCTCCAGAGAGACGGAGTTCTGCTCATTCTCACTGTCCTGAGATGACTTCCCTGAGGAGACACCGGGACAAAAAGACTTCCTGTCAGTCACCCAGAATCAGGGGAAAGACTACATCTAAAGAAAACAGGATGGAGTACGGGAAGAGAAGACTTACCAGCTTTGTGGAAGAAGCCAGTAAAGGTGAGCTGCAGATTAGAGGCCAGGCTGTGGGGGGGAAAACAGAGGAACTTTGTATTAGAATTCTTACAGATAATCAGAAATGACCATAAATATCAACAGAAAATAAACAGCAAACGTTTTGTACACTGATTCATCGTTTCAAAATTTATTTCATTTGGCAAAATGCTGTTTTCAGCTTTACAATGATTTATACATGTAAACGTATTAAACTGAAAACATTGTGTTGTATTGTCACAACACAAGACATTGAAAGCCCCTTAAGCTTTCAACTGACATGGACTCTGACACTTAATCGAACAAACATTGAATTTAATCATCTTGAAAATAGTTAGCAGTATAATTGATAATGAGGATTAAAGTTAATTGCTGCCCTGTGCAAAAGAAAAGGAGTGTTTACCTGTGAGTCTCCTGTTCTCCTCTCATCTTTTCCACTTTGAACAACAGATTGTCAACCTTGGAGCTTTTCCTGTACATGCAGACAAACAGCGGGGGTTAGCAACAACATCATCCAACAGTCAGCCACAGGCAGAACAACACATCTCTACACACAGGAAGAAGATTCACAGAGAAATTGATTCATTCTGTATTTAGATTCAGTCCACAGACTAACATCATCTGCTATAACAGTTATATTAATGCTCATTTATCCGTTTCCTGTAGTGTGTCGTATAGGTTTCTGTGCATACAAGGGCAGGCTGCAGCGTGTCATCCGCTCTGCAGAGAAGGTGATCGACTGCAATCTGCCATCCCTCCACGACCCTGAGGCAGGAACATAGTGGCCGACCCCTCCCACCCTGGACACAACCTGTTCACCCCCTCCGCTCTGGCAGGAGGCTGCGCTCCATCAGGACCAACACCTCTCGCCACCAGAACAGTTTCTTCCCCTCCGCTACCGGCCTCTTAAATAAGGCCCGCCCCCCCCACTGACACTTTAACTCAGCCACAACGCAGACTCTATGCATTACATGAATGCACACAATGTTTAATTATTGCATTCTATTTCGATGTAAATTACTGCTTATTTTATTGCTATCTTACTATATTTTTTATTACAGTGTTCTTAATATAGTTCGCTATCTGTGTACTTTTTTTAATTTACATTTTTATGTATGCACCATGACATCAAGTCAAATTCCTCGTACGTGTGAACCTAGTAGGGATGGGAACGATGAATCGAATATTCGAAATTATTCAGGTATTCGAATATGATTTATGAATTTTTTTATGAATATGTTTTTTTTTTTTTAGAGGGATGCCTAAGTTGATTGAATTATTCAATTTGATAATATGTAATGTATACGACAGTGCCATAGCTAAATGTGTCAGGTCTAAAGGTGTGTTTTGCTCTGCTCACCAGTCCCTCACAGCGGGCAGAGCTGCAGGTGCTGATCTCTCTCTCTCTCTCGTCCGGTTATACTTCACTCGTGTTTATGTCCAAATCCATCAGATCTAGCCAGTTCTAGCTAATGATATGGCTGCTGCCCCTCCCTACACGCAGATCACGCAGACTCAAACCTCATCTTAGGCCCAAATGCGCTCCGCAGCCGTTGCGAGCATACTTGCCAACCTTGAAACCTCAGAAATCGGGAGCATTTCAAAACCACCACTATATGCTTATTGTAGTTCTGAGTGCAATGCCTTGCGGCCTGTAGCACCATCCTCTTGATGGAGCATATGTGTGGGCTGGACCAGGAAAGGAGTGAGCAGAGGATCGAGTTGTCGATTCTTGTTCTGTGACTATCTAGTTGCGCACGCTACTAAAGAGACGCGCTACCATGGAAACCAAACAGTGGTGTAGCTGTAATAAAGTCCGAGTGGAAACAGTCGTGTGTAAATCAGATTTTGTCAGAAATCGGGAGAAATGCGGGAGAAATATGACCCCGGGAGGAAACCGGGAGAGGGCTATGAAATCGGGAGTCTCCCGCGAAAATCGGGAGGGTTGGCAAGTATGGTTGCGAGGTTCCGGCGCTAACAGTTCATGAGCGTGCTCCCCCGCCCTCTGTCAACACTCGCTGCTTGGCAACCTATCTTTGTGTGGCGGCAAAGTACATAGACATTTTGACAGGAGAGATTTATAAATATTTCGACCAGGTTAGTGAGTGCGGTGTAGAGGTCAAACTATGCCATATCTGTTGTGTAGGACTCTTCTTAGAGTGTAAATAATTACCGGACTATGACTGGTAAAATATGTTGAATACCAGCAAAAGTAAATCTCTCCTGTCAAAATGTCTATGTACTTTGCCGCCACACACGGTTGCCAAGCAGCACTTATTGTTGTTTAGGCTGGCCACTCATGTGTCGCGAGTGTTGACACGGGGCGGGGATCACGCTCATGAACTGTTAGTGCCGGAACCTCGCAACGGCTGCGGAGCTCATTTGCGCCGCATTTGGGCATGAGATGAATTTTGAGTCTGCGTGATCGCGTGTAGGGAGGGGCAGCAGCCATATCATTAGCTAGAACTAGCTAGATCTGATGGATTTGGACATAAACGCGAGTGAAGTATAACCGGATGCGAGAGAGAGAGATCAGCACCTGCAGCTCTGCCCGCTGTGAGGGACCGGTGAGCGGAGCAAAACACACCTTTAGACGTCACCTAACACATTTAGCTATGGCACTGTCGTATACATTGAATTATTCAATTTGATAATATGTAATCAACTTAGGCATCCCTCCCAAAAATTTAAAAATAAAAATTAATTAATAACTCATATTCGAATACTTGAATAACTTTGAATATTCGATTAATCGTTCCCATCCCTAGTGCATAGGCCCGGTTATAGGTTTTTGATGTTTTAGCATGAAAGCTGTAGGCCTATAGCTGTCAAACTGTGATCACCAGTTCAATACGTTTGACAAATTCGACTTGGTTTCTATACTTATTTGAACATGTATTTATTTATTTCCAAAAGTTGTTGAAAAAAAAAAATTAGAAAGAAAATGTTACATTTTTTTTAGGATATGTACATTTCGGTTAACCGGTTAACCGTTTTTTGGGGGGTCGAATATTCGAGAACCTACTAGAACCTACTAGGGATGGGAATTTGAAAGCAAATGTATATTCGAATATTCGACCCCCAAAAAAACGGTTAACCGGTTAACCAAAATGTATATATCCTAAAAAATTAAAAAATGTCAGTAAAAAAATTTGTTAAGACATTTTTTGTCACACATTTTATTTTTTTAATACTTTTTATAAATAAATAAATACATGTTAAAATAAGTATAGAAACCAAGTCGAATTTGTCAAATTTATTGAACTGGTGATATAGGCCTAGCTTTCATGCTTAAAACATTAAAACATTAAAAACCTACAACAGGGCCTATGCACAGAATGCAGCTATTCAATAGGCTACTCATTCTTGTTTAAGAATATGAGCATGTCTACATGCTTAGGGGAGAGGCGGGTGCGGAGGCGATTCACAATCAGGCCAGCTGTAGAGAAGACCCTCTCAGCTGGAATGGAGGTTGCGGGTATAGCAAGGTATTCCTTCGCCAGGACACTGAGTTTTCTGTACCGTCCTTCATTTTTCCTCCACCACTGTAGTGGGTTTTCCTGTGGTGGGATGCCCGGCTCATTGAAATAGAGTTCCACTTCATTATGGTCTGGGTCTTGAGTGAAGTAGTCCTCCCCAAACAGGGTGTTTAACGACACAGCCCGTGTGTCGGAGCCGGTCGCTGCTGCAGCTCGGGCCGGCTGGTTCTCGCTGTCTGACTCTGTTGCTGTGCTGGTGTCCTCAGCCTCATGGCCACTAATTCTGGTATCATTGGTGGGAGCACTGGTCATCCTGTCGGGCACTCGCCTAAACATTTCAGACAGGTTTTTCACGATCTCCGAGCGGAGAGTCTGCGCTACAAAACGTAGGTGTTTGTGTCGGGGATCCAGCGCACTAGCTATATACACGGGCTTCTTGCCTATCAGGGAAATAGAAATATCAAATATGTAGGCATATTTATTATTTATGCCTAATATTGTCGATTCAATTAAATATTCTTTCTTACTAATTATTACCTGCATTAGCTGCTGAGGTGTCGTCTGATTCTGGGATTATGCGCTTTCTCAGTGAGGTTGCAACAGCCTCCTTGAACTCGCCAACCACTCGCGACTCTCCAGGGATGGACATTAGGTGCCTTGTCAACAGGCTGTTTGTTACAGGCTGTTCCAAGCTGATGCATACATGGGTCTCGCTGCAAAGTGCTGTGGTTGCGCACTTGAGACTGGAGTGCGGGCAGAATGTCTTCGATAACCTGCCAGTTCTGATCTGTGAGTTCCAGGGTCCTTGCGTCGTTCAGTTTTGTAATGGTCCTGTCCGAAAGGGTGGCAGACACTGCCCATCTCTGCTCGTGTAGCCTTTCAAACATATCACAAATCGAGTTCCATCTCGTACGAGAGTACTGAATGAGTTTATGTTTGGAGAGATTTTGCGCGTCTTGTTTTTTCTTCAGGCCAGCGGTGGCTACAGTGCTGTGATGAAAATGTGATACCAGTCTCCCACAAGCTGCCACAACCCGATGCACACTGCCCACTTTAAATCCATCGTTGATGGCTAGCTGAAGCGTATGAGCGTAGCAGGGTACCGACTCCCAGTCCGCAATTGTGCGATTAGCAAGCACCATGTTACTGGCATTATCATGGACACATGCGGTGATTTTATCCGTTAAACCCCACTCTTCAGCAGCAGCTTGTAGCTGAGCTGCTATGTTCTGTGCTGTGTGTCGTTCGTCTGAACTGCGTGTCTGTAACACAGCACTTTTCATCTCCCAGTCATCAGTGATGGTCGTGTATGATTCTGTTGTGAGAGCGGTCCATGAATCAGTTGTGATGGCTACTTTTTCTGATTGACTAATGTCCATTTTCAGCTTTTTCACACCATCTTCGTATTTTAGTTCAACCCTGGAAACGATAGTCTTACGGGTGGGCACCCTATACTCCGGTTCAACAAAGTTCATGAGTTCTCGGAACCCCTCTCCCTCAACGAAGCTCAGTGGTAGCATGTCCTTGGTAATCATTCGGGTAATGAGGGCTGTAATTCTCTCTTCTTGCGGGGTCACAGTGCCGTCTTGCGCTGGTGAAGGAGGTGATGAGTGGCTGCTCCTGTCTTTCACTCTCGGGCTCCAAACTCACTGTTTTATGTTTTAATTTTAAGTGGTTGAGCATTGAGCTAGTTGACTTATGATACACAAGTTTAACTTTGCATAGTTTTCACTCTACACCGCACTCACTAACCTGGTCGAAATGTTTCCACACATTACTTTTTGACGCCATGTCCGTCTTTGTTGTTGAATACCGGCAAAACTAAATCTCTCCTGTTAAAATGTTTTTGAACTTTGCCGCCACACACGGCTGCCAAGCAGCGCTTATTGTTGTTTAAACTGGCCGCTTATTGTTGTTTAAACTGGCCACTCATGTGTCGTGAGTGTTGACGGGGCGGGGAGCACGCTCATGAACTGTTATAAGCATAATATGAGGTTTGAGTCTGTGTGATCTGCGTGTAGGGAGGGGCAGCAGCCATATCATTAGCTAGAACCAGCGCCACATATGCGGAGAAAAAAACACACCTTTAGACCTAACACACTTAGCTATGGCACTGTCGTATACATTGAATTATTCAATTTGATAATATGTAATCAACTTAGGCACCCCTCTAAAAAATTAAAAATGTTAAATAAAAAAATATGAAAAAAATATATTCATAACTCATATTCGAATACATGAATAATATTCGAATAGCTGAATAATTTCGAATATTCGATTAATCGTTCCCATCCCTAGAACCTACCTGGCAATAAACCCGTTTCTGATTCTGATGTAAATGGTCTGCAAATCCAAAAGTTCCTTACAGAGGGAGTTTCTCTAACACACACACACACTTCCCCCCCCCCCCCTTGCCAGAAACACCTCCATTTGTTTCCTTTGTTAAGTTACGTAACATTATGACATCACTATGTAAGCTTCTATTGGCTAGAGCTCCAACACATTATACGTGGCGGGACATCTCAAAGCAGTTGACCAATCACAACAGAGCTGGCCAGCTAACCAATCAGAGCAGACTGGGCTCTGGTTTCAGACAGAGGGTGAAAAGAGGTGCTGCAGCACAGGCAGTATGAGACAAATAAAGAGCTTTTTGAACATTAAAGCATGGAGACATGTCCCAGTAGAGACATTACATACTAATATAAACCTGAAAATGAGCATTATCGGGCCTCTTTAAATGTTGTGCAGGTAGCATCTTTACTTAATATTAGCTGCTCGTAAACAGCCGCAGGTAGTTGAGATGGTTAACGTGTTTAAGAGGTTTCAAGTGTTGACATAGAAACAACTGAAGATGTTCCATTTGGACCACAACAAGCCCTGAGTTTTGCCTTTATCTGTCAGTATTGTTTTTGGTGCTTTTGGTATAATTGCATAAGCGCCATGTGCTTAAAAAAGCTCGCCCACCTGGCTCCAATCTGCCCATTAGTCCACACAGGAGCTCACATCATTTTCCACTTCCGTCCAACTTCCACCTGAGCGGCAGGCTAATGAGCCAAAGTAACTGAAAACACCTGTGAGGTTCTGCAGGGTCTTGCATCACACTGAAACCCTCCTCCTCACATCTTCATTTGACAGAGTTTAGCACTAAATAATGGCTCAACTTTAACTCCAGCAACCCAATGCATCGACTAAATATAAGCAACACTGTACTGTCACATTAACGCCATTATTCCACTCTCAAGGAAAACAATTATTGCGGCCGGATATGCAGTACTATGAGCCTTTACTTGGCATAAAACATTCAGACTAAATTCAGACTATGGATCAGTTTTGAAGAACAAAAACACTTCAAAAAGGGCACCAAAAAGACAGTTTAAGTCAAAGAGTCTTAATAGACTAACAGAAAACATGTCAATGCATTGCAACATTTAAGCGATTTAATTCAGCGCAGAGTAAAGTAAAGACTTTTAACATTGTTCAATCTGATTATTAAAATCCACAGCTTCTCTTAATTGGATGCATGTCAGTTATCTGTGTGGAGCGTATTCATCTCTCATCACCAGCAGTGCTTCATGTGCCTGGAGCATGCAGGAGGGCAGCGGAAAGTGAAACTGAGCCAAGCTGCAGCAGAAAAACACGTCGCCCGGTTCACTGAGTACACTTCAATTCAGGAATAACAAACGTTTTTCTAACGGCTGCCATTTTTAGTCCACTACCAACTCCCAAGCAAGCATTAACAAGAAGTTGGTGTGACAGGGAAGAAAACTCTGGCTCTTGTGTCTAAACAAGGGCAACACACACACTTTAGTAAGATGGTAACAGATATAGGTTGAAAGGGACAGAGACTACATAATGTCCCAAATGTAATTCTTAACATTTGGGAAGTGTATGCATTTTCTCTTGTTAAAAGCTTGAATATATCTTAACTTTTCAAAAGTAAAAAATAATAAATGATTACCAAAGGAGCAAAGGGATTTGTTAATAAAACTAGGGCTATAATATGGAAAGTTTGACATCCATAGAATATCTCGTTTTAAGAGCTGCGTCAATATACTTCAACTACATTAAGTTATTTTTTAAGTGATTTTTATATATACACTAAAATGTCCGAAAAGTTTTCCACGCTAACTACGGAGAATTTATGCTACTCTGTTTATTTTAAGATTTTTTTCATTGACAAATCAAGACATTGAGAGAAACTGAGAGATGCTTTTTGATTCATCTAGAAAATAATCAGCAGATTAATTGATAGGAAAATAATCTTTCATTGCAGTTCTTGCAAATACATTTTTGTTTTGAACAACAGCAACACCTGCATAAACAAATGCTGTTCAACCAGTATCACCAATGACATGAAGCACAGCAGGGTGTCATTGACAGTCTTTTGATACCAGTGTCAAACCTTTGGCAGAAAAATCCCCCCAAAAATACAATTCATACATATTTCAAGTCAACCCAAACAGCTGTAAAGGACAAATAGCAAAAAAGCATCAAACTGACTAAGATATTAATATAAATGGCTAGACAGAGACAGTTTGGTAGCTAATGAAAAACTGATTATCAACCAATATTCAACTTGCTCCTACTTGGTGTTACATGAATAGCAGCTGATACAATGGCTAGTTTTCACAACTTTCTTTTACAAAACTATGCAACCCAAGCTTTTCAACAGAAAATACAATAACCTGTATTCCTTTAACACAACATCCGTGTGTAAACACCGACATGGCTGCATTTTAACTCTCCTTGACCACAAGCAGCCCCATGTGTATCAGGAGAATCTCTTTTTTGTGCAGCGTCTGTATGCAAAGCAGCCTAACTGAAAACCTCTCTCCTAGCTTTAAGCCCCCTCCTACTGCAGCACACACGCTGGTTAACTTTCTCTTAAGATAACATTTGACATGCTTTTCAAGAGTCAGTTTCAGGTTTAACATAAAGCTATGAAAGAAAAATGAGACAGAAGCAATGATACAAGAAGCAACCAATATAAAAAACACCTGATCTGTTGAGCCGTAACATTTTCTAATAATACTCTTCATGGGAAATCTTGAATTAATGCATTAGAAATACTGGATTTTTACCTTTTAACGTTATTCCTTGAGTTTCTGTGGGACATGTAGGTGAGGGTCCTGTGCAAAAATATCGGCTGAAATGTAGCAGAGAGAGATAAAACACATGAATTTAAGGTACAGGAACATTTCCTCTGATCTTAAAAGGTCAAGTCAGTCATGTGACTTGGTCAAGGAAAGGCAAGACTCACAGCGATCAAGTTCCTGGTGCGAAGGAACCTGTAGATTTGGGTTGGTTCTGCAAATAAATATGATCAGCACATTACTTTATGAAGTGTTCAGCCTTTTATGCAAGTGTTTTTCAATCTTAACATGTGTCAAGCTCGGTACATTTAGTGATACAATCTAACTTTGTTAATAAACTCAATCATCCAAGTCATGCCAAGTCATGTATCAAGAAAAAAAGATTCTACATTTCAAGAGGATCTGACAGTTTTTCTTTATGTCGTTTTATTTTTTGCTGACATTCAAAATAAGATATAATTTGTTGTCAGGTAATTTTGTTTATTTACATTGTAAGTAATTTAAAAAAATAAAAATAAAAGTTGTTAAAATAATGCATCCTTAACAACCGTAGACCCAAAGTCAAATTAACCAATACAAAATATACTTCTATAAGTAAAACATTTACTGGAAACATTGTACTAAACAATAAGTACTTTGAAGTACATTAAGATAATAATACTAGCATTGTTTTAATTAAGTTAAGTCTTTGAATGCATGTATTTTACTTGTATTTGAGTATTTTCACAGCATGGTCATTAGAGCTATGAATTAAGTTAAGATCTGAATACTTTTTCCACTTCTGGTAAATAAAAGTAAACTGGAAAAACGACAAAGCTTAAATCACGATGATAGTTTAAAGTATGTAGTACAATGATCTTCTCCTTCAACAATGGAGCATTTACCCGGTTTCCTGTAAAGCTTCCTGCGACCTTACATTAAACTCCAATGATATCTTTAAAACAGCAGCAACTCACTCTCGAAGGCCTGCAGGAACAACTCGTGGTCGGCTTGAATGTGTTGCATGCTGGGCTTCTTGGCTACAGCCATGGAGGAGGAGGTGGACTGGTGGCAGGACCCGTTGGCTTTTCCTCCAGAACCAAAGCCCCCAGAGTGACCTCCACCTGAGGAGCTCTGCTTCTGTGGAGCCATTGCCAAACGAAAGGCAACTGTCCAACCAGATGTGAACTGGTGTTAAAAAAAGAAACTCGGGTCCTCTTCCTTTGTCAAAACAAAAGAGCAGCGTTTGCGGTAAAACAGCCGCTTAAGCGAAACACTTCATTTTAAAAAACCAATAGTGAAAATTCAAGTATTTTGTATTTGACAGCTACAAACAAATGCTGTATTTTCGGCACAGGTTAAATAGTTAAGTGGTCGGCGAACAGGCTTGAAATGCGCCAAACAAAAAATCCAGCCTCTGGCAAGCTAACCGGCTAACTTCCTTAGCCAATTAGCATCGACTCCGGGCTAACTGGTTAGCATTGTCCGGTACTGTGATTTCACTAATCCACAACTCGGAATCTGCTGCCAAACGACAGCTGGCTAAACACAAAAAAGGCACACGTTTTCAGAGTTTTCGATGCCATAATTTCGACAAAATCCCCATCAAATCTCGCCGAGCGCCGGTTGGCAAGTTCGGTTAGCGGTAACTGGAAAGCAACAAAAAAGTCATAAAGAAGTTATCCGGTCAGGATTTTCAAAATTAAAGTTATTTATAGTATAACATTCTAAAAACATGTTTCACTATGTTTTGTATACAACACTGATGTGAATGTTAACATGTAAATACATATCAATGAAAAGACTTACCCCAATAAAGACATGTTCTGTAAAAAAAGGTAATCTTGATCAATTCAAAAGTTTATTTTGAAGGTAGAGTCAGAGTTCCGTTTTTTTCAGGTTCGCCGACTTGTTAAATGTAGGGTGAAGCTCTGTTTTAACATCCCGCCTTCTACTAGCCCAACCCAATCACGGTACTTGTTTGTTAAATCTGGAGATGTCATTGGTTGTCTGGGGCTGAGGCACATTTGCCGCCTGTAGTATGGTGAGCCCATGGATAGACAGCTCTAAATAAGGACAGACAAGAAACTTAAATAAATATACCTAGTAGGCTCCTCTATTTGCTAATTCTGTCATAACAAAAGTACTACTATACCATGCCATTGAAAATCAAAGTATATTATAGTATATTTGTCATAAAAAGGTCGCAAAAGTCATAGTATGTAAACAAGTATGCCATAAAACGTTGTAGTAAAAATGTCTCTAAACATGCCATATGATTGTGAAGTAAAAGTCCTGCATTCAAAATGTTACTCAAGTAAAAGTGCTACAGTATCGGCATCAACATATACTTATGTTTTGATTATATTTATTGATGCATTAAAATGTTATCAAAGCTGGTAAAGCATCCGGACTAAAACCACCAGACTAAGGGATAGTTTCATGCCACAGGCCATTAGACTGCTAAACACCTGCACTTTTGAAAGAACATCCATAACATTCATCTGTTTGCAACTTATATATATATATCAATATTCCAATAACTTGTATAGACTATTCTGCACTATTTCTATTATATTTTATTTACTTGCACTATTTTATCCATTGTATTGTGTTGCACTGTTGGAGGAGCCTGTGACCTAAGCATTTCATTGTTATAACTACACTGTAGATATGCACAAATGACAATAAAAGCCTTGAATCTTGAATCTAAAGGTGCAGCTAGTTTTAAGGACTTTGTATACTCCAGGTGTAACTAAAGTCTGATTAAGAGTGAGTTGATTATATTTCACATCATTAATCCAAATGTGCAAAGTAACTTAAGGTATTACATAAATGTAGAGGAGTAAAACTACACTATTTACCTCTGAATTTTAGTGAAGTTGAAGTGAAAGTATCAAGAAATTGAAATACTCACCTATGAAACACCACCTCAAAATTGTACTTATCCTCAAAGGTACTCGAGTAAATGTAATGTTACTTCCCACTGGTAGTCTGCCATAAAAATGGTCATAACATAGTATACATAGTATAACATGTCATAGAAATGGAATAAACTAACACCCACATTTACATGAATCCCATATTGCAAGGTTCTTTTTTTGATTAAATCTAGGATTCTTTCAATGTTCTCTTATTGAGTGTGTGTCTTTTGGAGTGTGTGTTTAGTTTGTGTTTGTGATGGACTGCAAAAAGAAAAACAGTGATCTATGTTGTGTACAGCACAACTTTTAAAGTAAGATCATTTCGGTAAAAATTGTAGAAAGTCTGCTGTCAAAGGTATCTTTAAAATGTATTAGACATTCAGAGATGTCACTTTTCAAGGCCTTCTCGTACTTCATACATGTCATTACATGGTACTTGTTAGACGCTTTCATCCAAAGCGACTTACATACATTCAGTACTGTGGGCAATCCCCACAGGAGCAATTTGGCGTGAAGTGTCTTGCCCAGGGACACAACGACATGCTGACTGCAGAGGGGTTTGAACCTGTGCTCTGCTGATCCAAACACCAACACACTAGTCCACTGCGCCACAGCCTCCCTATTTAACATACAATTCATACAAAAGGATCAAGATGGAAGCTGATTAAAAAAACATAAATGTAATAACCAGTAAAAAATACTCGAGAAAGGCAGGATCATGTATTTCACACAAAAACTCATGACAGGAAGCAAAAAGGCAGAATTGAATCACAAAGTTTGGACTTAAGTTATGATTTATTAGTCAAACATATTCCCTTTAAAAGTAGCCATCATAGCGGTTTGTCAGAGTAACATACAGTAGTACATACAGTACACTGGCAATGAACCCCGGAAGCAGGTAGTTAAAGTCAACAACACTGGATTAAATCATTTAAAACACAAAAGCACGATACACAAAACTCGGACAGGTAACAGTTGTGGTGAAAATGTTAATGTTGCCATTAAACATCCCAGAAATAAATAGACTAACCTTCATCTTAAATCCCTTCTCCTCAGTTTAGCAAAATCAACAATAGATTAAGTATTACACCAGTGTTTGACCTTCTTAACTGTGTTATCTTGTGCTCATCCTGTTATTCCAGGTCTTTTACCTCAAACCAGGATAGTGTTGTGCAAACATCATGACCTGAAACCAACTTTTAAAAGTATAGCCTTTATTTTTAACCCTGCTGCCTCAAGATCACAACTTAATTGAAAAGTCTTAATATCTCTTTAGACTAGGCTTAATACACAGACAGACAGTATATGTCTGAGCAATACTATCTCAAGATAAAGAGAAATTAATAATCCCTACAAAAAAACAGATAAGAAATAGTGACTTGTTTTTGAGGATAGAGTTGATTTTATATTACATTGTGATTTATATTAAATTGTGATCTTGTGATAACAGGTTTTTAAAAAAAAACTTGGTAGCAACCACAATCGCATTTAACATCTGTAACAAATCCAAAGGTCATTTTTAAAATGGTCTCCACTGGCAAAACGTCTTTGCACGACATCACACCTTTGGAAGATGTTCAAAGAAATATTTTACCCCCAAAATGATCATTTGTGTACGGTTAACCTGTGTTACCTTGAGTTCTTGAAGAAAACTACGTTTTTTTTTTCATTTAGTTTTGATGCCGTTCAGTTCAGATCATGTTTGGAAAAAAGTCAATTGCAGTTATTTTGACTGATATTATAATTCTGATAATAGCTTAATAATAATAATAATAATTCATTTATTTTATATAGGCGCCTTTCAAGGCTCTCAAGGTCGCCATACAAACACATAAAAAACAAGATATACAGCTTAATTGAAGGGAGTGATAAGCCTTACATTATTATTCTCATTTTGATTTTAAAACATATAAAAAAGATTATGGTGCGACCTGTTCCCAACAAAGACATATTCTTAAGTCTGTAAAATTCAATTATGTAAGAGCATCTCTGTTGCAATATTACAAAAAAATGATGGTATTGCAGTAAACCATATTTAAATGTTGTGACAATTTTCATTTTCTTCATTTGCTCTAGTAACACAGGGTGAGTAATTGATATTCAAATACCAATTTGAGGGTAAAGTATTCTGTTAAAGGTCCCATGTCATGGCCATTTCTACTGATCACAATCCATTGTTGAGGTCTACTAAAATAGATTTATATTGTGCAATTTTCCAAAATCACATTCTCATACAGCATCTCTGTATAGTATGTGCATTCACTCTCTGTCCTAAACGGCTTGTTGGAGCTCCTGCCCCCCCCCCCTATGAGCCCAGTGGCCGCCTGCGAGACAGCGAGACACAGCGAAACCTAGCCCAAAACACACACACACCCGCAGCCTAAACTCCCAGTCCCGCCGTCTCGGAGGAGAAATCGGCGGAGCTGCAGCTTAACGTAACGGCTTTGCGGACGTAACGTAATGGCTCCAGGGATTGGTCTATTTGGACCAATGGGTCCATTTGGGTATGGGCACATCACTGTACCCAGGAAGAAAACAATGGAAAAAGAGAAATCTCCAACGAGGCCTTCTGGGGCAGCACAGACAGGTCTTTTCTGTGTTAGAGTTTTACTCGCTACAGGGTGTACTTTGAGGGTTTGTGACTCTGCAGACCTTTTACAAGCAGAAAAACCTTCATAGCACACAAGGGGACGGGTAATAACCGGAAAAGCATGACATGGGACCTTTAAATTAGTCATTTCAGAGAGTTTTTCTCAAGACTGATGTCCTTCAAGCATGGCAAAAAAAGTCAAAGTGCAAATTAGCGTGACGATTTTGTATTAGTTTTACCTAGGCCAGTTTAACATTCAAAAACAAGGGAGAAGCTGACACCCCAAGGCCCACAAAGTGATGGGTAATGGACATGTTTATGAGGTCCTTATCAAGCTTTTCTGCGCATTTTAGTTTCCCATCAGTGCCCCTGACCTCATTTGGGCTCGATCTTCAAGTGAGAACAGCCACATAAACCAAACTGTCAGCATCGGGATAGCATGGTTAATGCCTGATATCCTGCGACAAATCAAGATGTAGTGGGAGCTTAGTCGGAGAGGTTTTAGTGTTTTCTCCAGAATATGTAAGTAATGAGCAGGAGGAGCCCTGCCGACAGGCCTGCGATCAAAAACTGGTGGATAGAGAGGACGTTTTCCAGCGTGTGGATCCTCTCCTCCATGGCACTGGTGTGGAAGTAGTCATAGATGCCAGCTCCGATGCTCCACAGCGCCCACACTGCGTCCAACACCAGCGGCATGTTGAAGCAGACAGGGAGGCTCAGCTGCAGCGATCAGGAGCGCTCTGTCAGAGGCTGCAACAAAAGACAAACCGAGATTTAGACTTGACAACAAGCAATGGTAGTTTTAAACGTCAATGCCAACATTTTGAAATGGAATTACCAAACCCACAATGAGGAAAATGCATAAAATCCATTCAAACCTTCTCCAATCAAGCAAATCTAGCTATTACTGTACCTTTTTATTTCTTCATCCCCCAGTAACTTATCGCCTTCTAAACCTAAAAAATAAGCTGTATTATCTAGTTAATGCCTTTCATGCAAAGTTGCAATACAAGGTGCTTACAATACAATTACAACAATACAATTAACATAGCAAATTTAAATAGGCTAGATAAAAGATTAAAAGATTTTATTAAAATGGCTAGGTAAAAATATCCATCCCAAGATTTCATTTAAAAAGGTATTTCTCCTTTAATTTATTTGTAAAAAACGTTATTGTTACCTATATGTCCTTGTTGTTTTTTTTAAAATCATCTTTATAACTGTAGAGGTGAACAACTTAAACATTAGAATCAAACCGTAAATTCCACACTTTCATTTTTTGCCAGACTTTTTTTGTGGGCAAATCCACACTG